AAAAAAAAAAAAACAGTATTCCTACAAGCTTACAGATAATCTTGCTTGACCATGCTCAGTTATCTTTTGGTACAACCTGTCTCACCTTGGATGGGCAACTTCCAGGAGAAAGGAACTACAAGAGGGAAACACAAGCCCTGTGCTGTGATCATTCCCGTGCCTATATAGGGTGGAAGCCATCTTTCTTCTCTGGTGTCCCTTCAACCACCCAGGTGGGAGAGAGGCTGCCCCTCGATGTGTGTGCCAACACAGTCCTGTCTGCTGAAAGATCAGGCTCTTGTCTCTTTTTCTGCCTTCAGTCTCTTTACACAGTCCCCAAAATCTAACAACCAACATGTTGCATTCTGAAAACTGTATTATATTCCGTTTTAAACTTTCTAAAAGAATAAGCATAATACTCACTGTAACTAGAGAAATAATTTTAAGGTTATTGGAAAAAGGTTTTTTTAAAGACTCCCACACCCTGCCCCAGACAAGGAAATTGAATAGCCTCAATGTAGTTTTCAACTTTTTTTGTATTTATTACAATGGATATGCATATATACAAAGAAGCATAAGGAGAAAAAGCCAGAAAGACACACAATAAATTCAGGTTTCAACACTAAGTAAGATAGAAACTCATCGCTGGACTTCCTGCAGAGAAATTACATGACATTGTGTTTTTACATTGTTCTAATACAAATCCTAAAGGGGTAAAAAGCAAAGAAATCAGAGAGAAGTTTGGTGAAATAATCCCAGGAGAGAAAGATAATCACCTCAATGGGGTCAAACTTGAGATGGCTTTTGAAGAAGGAGCTATGGGATTTACTGAGGACTCTCAGAACTACATGAAAGAGTCCAGTCTGTTTGCCTATTCTTTGGCTTGATTGCCTGGGAGGGGCTTTCTATTTGAGGTTTATATAATATAGACAAGATATAATCCTCTGTCAGATTAGTAGATAGCAAAGATCTTCTTCTATAGGCCAGTACTTCACTCTGGTGATTATTTCTTTTGCTGCATAGAGCTTTCTTATTTCATGTAATTCCATTTGTTAACTCTTGCTATTGTCTCTTAGGCTATTAGAGTCCTATTTGGAAAATCCTCACTATGATTTATATCCTGTAGTGCTTACCTTACTTTTTCCATGGTAACTTCAAACTTTCAAGTCTTGTTTGTTTGTTTGTTTTTGTTTTTTGAGAGAGGGTTTCTGTCTCAAAAAATGTATGTATGTCCCACATAGCTCTGGCTGTCCTGGAACTTGCTCATAGACAAGGATGGCTTTGAACTCAGAGAGATCACCTACCTCTGCCTCCTTTTAAAGGCATGCACCCCCACCACCTGGCAAACTTTCAAGTCTTACATTAAGACACTTAATTGATTTTGACTTGGTTTTTGCTCAGAAAGGGAGTGGGGGTCACATTTCATCCATCTGCATGTAAGTATCCATTTTCCCACAGCATTTGTTGATGAGGCCAACATATCTCTAATAGTTGACTTGGTCCATTTGCCCCAGAGCAGATGGCTGTAGCTGCATGGGTTTATTTCTGGGACCCCATTCTGTTCCAAGATCACTGTGTCTGCTTGAATCAGTGGCTGGAGATGTCATCACGATGACATACATGGTGTACTTGGACATCAGGTACTATGAATGACACTCTCAGCATTGCTCTTTCTACTAAGATTTCTTTGACTCTTCAGGGTCCTTTGTGATTCCATGTGAGTTTTGGGACTTTTTTTCTGTTTCTGTGACGAATATTGGAGTTTTGGTGGGGACTGCAGGGACTCTACATGTAGATCACTTTTGGAAATGGGAGCCAGTTTCACAATATCAGTTCTCCTCATCCATTAACATGGGATATCTTTCCACATTCTAGTGTACTCTTCAGTTTCCTTCTTCTTTGTTTCACGGGGTGCTGTTTTTTCAGAAGTCTTACCCCAGCATTATTATTCCTCAATGCATTTTATGACTGTTGTGAATGGACTATTTTTCTTGATTAGTCTTTCTAGGCAAATTCATTACTGATCTTGTATGCTGATTTTGTATCTCACAACTTGGCTAAAAGTGTTCATTAAATCTAAGAGTTTTCTGATGGGATTTTTGGGGACCTTTAGGTATCAGCTCACATCATCTGCAAACATGAATAATTTGATTTCATTCTTTACTATTTATATCATTTCTTTCTTTATCTTGACTTACTGTTCTGATTAAGGACTCAAGCACTATACTGAAGTATGAGTCGTCAGAGTGCACACCCCTGTCTCATTTCTGATTTTAGAAGAAAGGCTTTAAGGTTTTCCCTAGTTAGTATTAGTTTGCCTTAGGTTTGCCTTACAGCCTTCATAATACTGAGGAATGTTCTTCCTATTCCTAGTTTCCTCAGAGAGTTCTTCATAAATGGTATTGGATTTTGCCAAAAGTCTTTCTATACCTATTGACATGACTGTGTGATTCCTATTCCTGAGTTTATGTGCTGTATTACATTTATGGATTTGCATATGTTGAACTATCCATGCATCTCTATACAACCAACTTGATTGTGTTTATAAACTTTTTGATAAGGGAAGGGGTGGTGATCTCATTTCATCCATCTACATGTAAGTATCCATTTTCCCATAGCATTTGTTGAAATGGCCATTGTTTCTCAAATAGTTGATTTAGGCCTCTTTGCTTGACAGCAGAGCTCTGCTGTAGCTGAGTGGGTTTGTATCTAGGTCTTCTATTTGGCTCCAATATTTCTAAGCAATTTGGTATATATGTAATTTATTGAGAATTTTTGCATCTATGTTCATCTGGGAAATTGGCCTATAGTTTTCTTCTCTGCTGGATCCTTGCTCAGTTTTAGTATCTGGATAATGTTCATAGAGTGAATCTGATGGAATTCCTTCCCTTTCTATTTTATGGAATAGTTTCAGGAGCATCTGTTAATTCTTTTTTAAGATAATGGTAGGATCTAGCAGCAAATTCATCTAGTCCTAGGCTATTCTTGATTGGAAATCTATTATTGCTTCAGTCTTGCTACTTATTATGAATCTATTTAACTTATCTATTTCCTCCTGATTTGATTTTGATAGGTTACATGTTTCTGTGAATTTATCCATTTCTTCTAATATTTCAAGATATTCCTTAAAGACCTTTAATACTTATTGTAATGTCTTTTTCATCTCTAAAAAGAGTCTTTTTAGAGACTTTATTTGAGTTCTCTCTCTCTCTCTCTCTCTCTCTCTCTCTCTCTCTCTCTTTCTCTCTCTTTGTTAATTTGGCTATAAATTTGTTGGCATGCTTATCTTTTCAAAAACCAAACTCTGTTTTATTGGCTCTTTTTATTGTTTTCCATCTCCATTATATTAATTTATAATCTGCTCTTTATTATTTTTCTCCACTTATTAATGTGGGCATAAGTTTACTCTTATTTTCCTAAGTCTTTTAGTGCATCACTGAATTATTCTACTTATCCTTGGTTTTTATTGTTTTGTTTGTTTGTTTGTTTGTTTGTTTTTTGAGACAGGGTTTCTCTGTGTAGCCCTGGTCATTCTGGAACTGGCTCTGTAGACCAGTTCAATACTGGTCTCAAACTCAGAGATCTGCCTGCCTCTGCCTCTGGAGTGCTGGGATCGAAGGCATGAGCCACCACTGCCTGGCTAATCCTTGGGTTTTTTTTGGGGGGGGGGCGGGGGTAATATATACACATTCATAGCTACAAACTTCCCTCTTAGAACTACCAAAGATTCAGGTAAGTTGATTTTGTACCATTTGATTCCAGGAATATTTTAATTCCCTCCTGAGTTTTTTAGTGGCCCACTGTTAATGCAAGCATGTTCAGTCTCCATGTGTTATTACAGTTTTTGGATTTTCCTATTGATTTCTAGTTTTATTCCATTATCATCTGAGATTACTTTGAATTTTTGTATATGGAAGATTCTATAAACATCTGTTATGATCATTTTTCTCTATGATGCTATGTAACTCTAAAACTTGTTGACAGGGTGGGAGGTCTGGATTATCTATTGATGACAATAGGGTTGAAGTCACCTAGTATTACTATATCTGGAACCTTCAGAGCCATCTGATGCTGTGGTGTCTGTTAGTGTTTGTTTTATGAAACTGAGTACACTCATGCATATTTACAATCATTATATCTTATTGACAGACCATTTACTTCTATAATATTAATTATTCTCTTCAAATATATTAATATTCTTCTTTTCTGATTTTGACTTAAAATATGCATTGTTTAGTAGGATGCCTATTGCTGCTTGGTATGTGAGAATTTCATTTCATCTGCAATTGTTTTTGGCCAAGATGGGAATATTATACATTTCCTCCTGACAAGGACACTGGTGGCCATATGCTGGCCAAAGAGCATGGGGAAAATATCTGTGGCATTTCTGGGCATAAGCTTTAACAGCCTGTAAAGGATGTGTTATTTACTCCTTTTCTTCTACCATGACAACTAGGAATGTTTTAAGTACAGATTGGCCTATCTGCCTAAATCCAGGTATGAAGAATACAAATGCAGAAATGACTGGTCAATCTGATCCATACAGAACATATAAAATTAGTAGAAAATACAGCTTTGTAATTGCACACTAATGATCCTATAGGATCACCTGTAATTCAGCTTAGTGGTTTGTACTTAACTTAGTTAATCCAGAGTGAAACAGACACTTTTATAACTTTCTTCTAACTTATTCTCTTTTTTTATGTGCACATTTGTCTGGGTGAGGATGTCAATTCCCCTGGAATTGGAGTTACAGACAGTTGTGAGCTGCCATGTGGGTGATGGGAATTGAACCCAGGTCGTCTGGAACAGCAGCCAGTGCTCTTAACCACTGAGCCATCTCTCCAGCCCTGGATTTATTCTTACTTATGGACTCCATTGTGTGCTCTCCAAATTCACGTGTTGAAACCCTTAACTCCCAATGTGACTGACTATATTTGGAATTGAGGCCTATATTGAAGTATGCTGGTGAGCTTTCTGTCACTGTAACAAAATATCTGAGATAATTAGAAAGAAAAAAAACTTTATTGTGGCCCAGAATTTTGAAGGTCCTCAACTATTACTGTCTTCTTTGCTGTAGACCTGCAGAAACACAGCACTGGGTCAGAAGTGTGTAGTTAAACAAAACCATTCACATCAGAATCCAGGGAACAAGAGAAAAAGAATCCATTTTCCCATAATCCCCTTTAAGCATACACTTAGAATGACCTAGAGACTACCTACAAAGTCTCATCTCCCAAAGGTTCCATCGTCTTTGAAGAGTATCACCCCGAGGACCAAACCTTGAGTGCATGAACCTCTGCAGAACATCTGACATTCAAACTCTTCCAAGCCATAAGGGTGGGCCTGGCCCTACAGGAATTGTGTTCATATTTGAAGAGACAAGAGAGAGCCCAGACTTTTTCTCTGCCCACCATGGCAGACATAGTAGTAAGACTTTCATTAGCAAACCAGGAAGACAGAACAGAGCTCTTCTAGCCTTGAGTTGGGACCTCTAGCTTCCAGAAAAGTGAGCAATGCACTTCTGCTGGTATTATGCTTGCGTCTTTTTCTGTAGTGTTCTGTGATGGCAGCCTGAGTAAACCCAGGCAATTCTGTTGTTCTCTCCTCTAACTTCTTCTGTTGAGCTTCTCAAATGTATTGATCGATTTGATGCTTTTCCTCTTTTCTAATAAAAATACTTTAAACTATAAAATGTCTGGGCCAGGGTACAAGTTAGTGCAAGAGTATTTGCCTGTATGTACAAGGCCATGATTCAATGTCCAATAATGAAAAATAAAATAATTAAAAGTATTTTTTAAATAAGTTAAAAAATAAATTTTAAAATAAATGTCTGATAAACACTTTGTGTGCTATTTCATAACTATTAAATTCTCAACATTACATTTTAATGCTTTCTACAATATTGACCAGTTATTTTCATGTTTTAAAATTTCTGGAGGCAGAGGCAGGCGGATCTCTGTGAGTTCGAGGCCAGCCTGGTCTCCAAAGTGAGTTCCAGGAAAGGCGCAAAGCTACACAGAGAAACCCTGTCTT